AAAAAGATTTATTTATTTATGCATACAGAACTGGGGTACAGGCCAGAGGTGCAGGGGTAGTGAGAGGATTCACCAGAGAGTGAGGAGCAGAACAGGCAGATCTACGAAGTACACTGCTGAGGGGAGCAGCAGGCCAGACAGGAGAGCTCTGTTGGACCCTGTGGGTCACCTCGGGGCGGGGATTGAACTTGCACTGAAGTGGCAGCTGACTTACAGTACTGTGCTTTAACCTGCTGCGCCACCTGGGAGGGCCTGATTTAAATTATTCTGATTTGCATATTTGGTGACATTTTGTTTCCTTTAAAACAAAAATTCTATTTTAATTCTTTACTCAGTTTGGTTTTTAGGAAATGGTGTTAGTAGAAAATTACCAAATGTTAGTATTCCTGAAAACATGTCAGTATACAAAAACTTTGATAGAAATCAATCTAGAAAAGCTGATACTAAAGTTGGGAATAGGTTGTACCATGCTTTCTACATCTGTGGTTTTTAAAATCGTTGTCATTATATTAATTTACTTGATTCTTTTAAGTATGAAATTGTTGCATGTAATTTTTCAATTAGAATGCATTGTATGTTAGGTCAGATTCCGTTACATTTCAGGTATAAATGAAGTACTGTAAAATATATTTCTTAATTAGGTCTATGCTTTATGGACAACAAACATTACAAAAATGGTTTCATGTACAAAGAAGTAGGTAGGAACATAATGAATACTTGTTTTTGCTTTGTAATGAGGTAACCCTCCACTGTGGTGACAAGCACTCCTCACTCATCCAAGCACCTTTCAGCAGTGTACTCAAGAAACCCACCTGTTGTGCCCTCCAGTCTCTGGTGAATTCTGTCTTTTATTTTTTTTTTCAATATATTTATTTATTTACGCATAGAAGAACTGAGGAGTAGGCCAGAGTACATGGGATGGGGGTAGGGGAGTGGTTGTGTTGGTTGTGAGAGGATTCATCAGACAAAGAATGTGCAGAACAGGTTAATCTACTGAAATCTACTGCTGAGGGGAACAGCAGGCAAAACAGGAGAGGTCTTCTGTGCAATTTGTGGGTTAGATCCGTGGTTGGGGATCAAACTCAGATCATGGAGGTGAGAATGCTGAGACTTAATCCCGAGGCCATGAGGCAGGCCCACCTGGTGAATTCTTTCACACACACCCCACCCCTTACACCAGCAACGCCAACTTCAACAGTTTTACATAGCTGCCATGATAAATCACCATTTATTTAGTGACTTAACACCACAAAATTACATTTTCTTACTGTTCTGGAGGTCAGTAATCTGACTTGGTTTCAGCAGGCTAAAATGAAGATGTCAGCAGGGTACCTGCAGTTCTGAGAGAATCAGCATCTCTGCTTTTTCCAGCTTCTGGGCTGTCTGCCTGTTGTCTTTGGCTTTCAGCTCTTTCCTCTATCTTCCAAGTCAGCAACAGTGGATGCACTTCTCTGATCTCTGCCATGAGCTAAATGTTTAGGCCCCCCTACCGCCCCAAAAGTCATATTGAAGTCCTGATGTGATGTTATTAGGAGGTGAGGACTTCGGGGAGTCATGAGTATAGAGAGCTTATAAATGGAAGTAGTGGTCCCATTTAAAAGGATGGATCCCTGGATCTCCGTGGAGCCAAGGAAGTGATAAGACCTGGGATATTTTTTAGGAAAATGGTTCTCACCAGAACTTGACCATGCTGGCACCTTAATCTTGGACTTCTCAGTCTCCAGACCATGTTAAACAACAGAAATTTAAGCCTCCTAGTCTGTGACATTTTGTTATATATAGCAGCATAGGTGGACGAGGCTGCTGGGATTCTGTTGTAACTCCCTCTGACATAATAGATCTGGGGAAGGGTCTAGTCTTACAAGAACCCAGTGCTTAGATTGGACACACTGAGATAATCCAGGATGATTGTATGTGTCCTGATGCTTTATCTTAATCACATTTACAAAGTCTCTTTTGCCAAGTAAGGTTAAACTATCACCTGATCAGGATGCTGACATCCTGGGGGTGGGGATGGGGGTGGGGGTGGATGGGTTCCTTTTCTTGTCCATTATTCAACTGCTGCATCTATCTCCTGGGTGAACAAGGTCAAGATTTTGCCAGTACTGAGTATTTTCCTACTTCTCTATGTTTTGTTTTATTTTTTTTCCCCTGGGGTATTAAAGGAAATCACATTCTTTGCCAGTAAATAGGTATGTATATTTCTCTAACTTAAGAACATAATCACAATAGCATTATCATAAAAAATTACTAATAATTAGCCACTTAACATTTACCACCCATGCTCACCTAAATGAGGCTTACACACTCCATTTAACTAATTTGTCATCTACTCTGCTTTATAACATCTCCTATTCCAATTTTTCAGACCCCACTTATTTATTTTTATGAGCTTTCATGAAAGAATTTTTTTTGTATTTATAGTGTTTTAACATAATGTTTTATAATATTATACAAAGTATTTTGACTGGAATATATTCAGGTTTATCTTTATTTCCACTAATAATGACCAAGAAAACTTTTAGTAATCAATGAGGTATTCTGTATGCACGCATTAAAATCAGAGAGAGTACTATATCTAAAAAACTGTCACTCAAAAAAAACCCTGTCACTTAAGAATTCATTGAGTCTTGCCTCAGATAAAGGTGTATCCTTATTTGCATGTTTGCAAATGCTCACCCTGAACAAGATTTCAAAATGTATATTACCCATTCCCTTTTTAATTACAAATTCCCAAATAGAGTCTTGTAAATTCCTACCAAATGTAGACTTGTCATCTTTCATAATTTACAGTGATCAGATGTTGGGAGGATTCCCCACTTCTGAATTCAGCTGAATACTTCCTGGTGTGATAGAACATGTTCATCTGGCCCCTATATTTCCTGAAGCCTGTACATTCTCCTCCCCTTTTCTTTTTTAAGTGACAGCACTTTAGAGGTAGTGGGTGTGCTTCCTGCTTGTGCACATTTAACATGTGGTTATCCGAGGTGTAGTTACGTTAAAATTGCTCACCAGGACATGTTCGAAAAGACTGTAGCATTCTGAGTTAATAACGATCACTATTGACTGCTTATTTAATATATTTACACTAAAACCAGGCACTTTGTCGGTTGCATTCTATTTCTCATATTACATCTTGGTACAGTGCTATACTCACAAATTTGCAAAAAATTACCAGAGTCAGTTGGTTTAAAAAGTCTATGTAAATCAGGGCTCGAAGCTTCAGTTTAACTTCCTAAAATATGTGCTAAGAATTGCTGCTCTTAACTGACAAGCTTTTGAGGATTGTTTGAAATAATGGATGAAGGCACTCTGTAAAGCAGAACATGACATCCTCCACTATTGTAACAAGAGTAGCACAAGTTTCTGTATGTTCATTACTGATTACCTGCTTTATTCATACTACATTACCAGAAGGCACGTCGCCAGGCCCTGGACTTCTTCAGGATGTAAAGGACGCAGCTCGGAGCTGGGTACCGGAAGGTTCAGCGGCGCAGACAGCGCGGCTCTAGGGCAAGGACTAGCAGCCGCCCAGCGCCAGCAGCTTCCTGCGGGCGCGCTCAGCCTGGACGCGCGTTTGTTTGCAGTGGAGACGGGCTACTGAGCGGCTCCTTGGAGGTCCGCGGGCGAGGCCACGCTAGCGGGTGCGGGCTCCGGGGGGCCTTGCGCCACGCCCCGGCGCGGTTCCCGGCTCCGGGTGCGAGCAGTGGAGTTCAGCATCAGTCAGCTCCTTCCGGCTCAAGCGGCGCGGTGCGGTGCGGGCGGGCAGCTGCGGCTCGCGCTCACCGCGGGCACAGCTCACGGAAGGGGCGCAGGGCCCGTGGGCAGAGCGCGCGGCGACGCCCAGCCCACGGTTAGCTGCACCGGCTGGCGACCCTCCCTAGGGACCCTTCCCGGCCCCAGCCACCTCTGCGGGTCCTCGCCGCGCGCCTCGGGTTGCTGCTTCCTCGATGCCCGGTTCTCCGTCCGCCGCCAGGTTGCATCGACTTCCCACGATTCTAGAAGACAATTTAAGGGTAGCACAAAGGACCGAGTTGTGGACAAAGATGCAGCCAAGAGTACGTTCTGCCTCTGTCGGGAGCTATTGTTTGGAGTTAGCCGCGGAAGCCCCCGGTGGGCCGGTTTTCCGGTGTCCCTGTACCAGCACCGGCACCATCGCGAGCCACGGCTCCAGAACGCGGTTCCAGAAAGCCCGGCCGCGCGGGGCGGGACCGGGCGGAGCGGGCGCCTCCCCGGCGACTTTAGGTTTCCCGGTTCGCTGAGGCTTCCGGGAGGGTTTCCGGGGCGACCTGGGCTCTTGGGACCCACACTGCGGAAGCTGCGGAATACTCGGAACTTCGGGCGACACTGCAGAGAGCACCCTCCCGGGACAGGTGAAATAACTGGGGCCCAGCTCTCCTCAAGCCCCCACAAGGTCGCTTTGCTTTCGGATCTGCCTCGCGTTTAGGGCTAAGCGCCTCATGGCAGCAGATTTTACGAACATTCTTGTGACCGTGTTGTAAGATTTATGTATTGAGGTTAATTGCTTTTCTTTTTTTTTTTTTTTGGCTGCAAATTGAAACCTTACCCTTTTAGGATTGCAAGTAAACCTTTTGAAAAAACAGTTCTGGAAATTACATACTTGCTGGAATATCTCTGCTACTTGAGGCCCACATAGTAAGTCTTTGGGGCCTCTGGCTTCCTAGTTCACTGATGTAGACTGGGAAAAAAATCCAGTATTTAAAAATATCTCAAGATGGAAAATTTAACATGCAAATAGCCCTCAAAGACATACTGTAGGTAACAAACAAGCAAAAGCAAAAACAAAACAAAACCACAGGTCAGTGCTTTGGGCAGAAGGGCATTTAGATATTTGGTGACAGCTTTAGAGTTAAACACCAGTGAGTGGATAAAATTATTTGCTCCCTATTCTGGTTGTAGCTACTATTTTTATGAGTTGGACAATTTAGAATGTTGCATATATTTTATATATGTATATTTTTATACTATAATTTAAAAAACCTACTTTAAGTAACAATGTAATTTTTCTTCAGCTCTGTATTTCTCAACTTTTTTTTTAATCTCCAATTTTTGTCAGCCTTGTTATGCCACCGGGGTGGAAGCACTTGCTGTGCTCTTTAATAATAATTAGAATTATTGGATTGAAATTGAATGAAAAATTACAGCAACACAGTACACCTTTTTTTGTTTTATTTCAGGTTTGCTTATGATTTGGAGGAGCACAAGCTTACTTAGAACCTTCTTAGAATCGATTCTATAGGTCGCATTAAAAGGTGAGAAGATGACTCAGTGATATTCCCTTAAATTCAGGCTCCCAAGACTTCAGCTTATCAGGACGTCCATTTTATAGGACATTGCTACTTTATAGGGGAGAAGGTGACTTTCACTTTTAAAAATTTAATTTTTTGTTTAGAAAAGTTTCCTCTATCACTTTTTCTTATGTCCCTTTGTCCTTTTCTCCTCTCTCTCTCTCATAACCTCAGACACTTAGTATTTACAATATTTGTTTACAATGCTCACTAATTTTTTAAAGTGTTTGTTTAGACTGACTCAAGTTGTTTACTATGTAAATGCTGAATATTTGTCTTTTGTGTAGTGTGCTTTACTACACAATTCCCTTCAGCTCCCCCAATTTCACTGTGAATGTCTGCATTTCATCTTCTCCTAATGACTGAATAGTACTCCATTGTGTTGGCTTATATAAATTGAGGCAAGCAAAAACTAATGAATCTGGGAAAACTGCCTAATCTGTTACCTTTTCAGTGAAATTTTATACACTTTCAAGGAGGGCAGTTGTGGGATTAATGTATCCTTTGATGATATCTATGAGTTGAGGAAACCAAGGTGTGTTGTTAAAATTTAACCAGTTCACTTAAAGCCTTGTGTGCTGGGGACTGGGAGCTTTATTTGCTAGGAGACAACTTTTTTTGTTGCTGCTGCCTCAGCTTCTTCCAAAGACCAGTTCAGCTGTTAGTTTTGGTTTGTGCCCCTTAGTTGAGGGTGGGGAGAAGGCTACCCTTCTGCTTAATGATTTTACTTTGCTATTCAGATGTACCACATCTTGATCCCGTTGTCTCCTGATGGATATTTAGGCTAGGCTGCTTTCATGTCTTTTCTACTACTGCTATAGTTTTATGGGTTCATGGTTTCATGTTCTTTGGATAGATGTCCAGGATTGGGATTGCTGCTGGGTCATACTGCATTTCCATTTTTAGTTTTTTTTTTTTTTTTTTTTTTTTTAAGATTTATTTATTTGTACATACAGAACCGGGGTACAGGCTAGAGGCTCAGGGGCGGTGAGAGGCTTCACCAGAGACAGAGTGGGGAGCAGAACAGGCAGATCTACGAAGCACACTGCTGAGGGGAGCAGCGGGTGGGTCAGGAGAGGTCTGCCACACCATATGGTCACCTCCGGGGCAGGCGGGAATCGAACTCATGCGGAAGTGGCTTTAGCTTCTCAGTGCAGTGCTTTAACCCGCTGCGCCACCAGGGAGGGCCCCATTTTTAGTTTTTAAAGATAAATATTAATCACTTTCCATCATGGCTACAGCAGTTTACATTCGGCTAACAGTGTATTAGGGCTCCTCTTCAGTCTTGTTGGGGGCCTCTTAGTATGAGCCATCTTCCTGCGCGTGAGGTGGTGTCTCACTGCATCTCAAAATGTGGTAGGGAACATTTTTTCATGTCTATTGGCTGTCTGAAGATCATTCTTGTTGAATTGTCAGTTCATATCTGCTGCCCAGTCATTAATTGGGTTGTTTGTTTTTCTGGGTGGAATTGTTTAAGTTTTTATATAACTTGGATATTGACTCCTTATTGGTTATCGTGTTAGGATTGTTTTCTCCCACTTGGTAGTTTAGAACATTGTTAGCTCATAGAGTCCAGTGTGTGCATATTCGTGTGGTTTTTCTTTATTATGGCCAAATATGAATAACACAAAATTTACCTTTTTAGTTATTTTTAAGTATACAGTTCAGTGCCAGTCAGTACATTCACATTGTTCTGCAATCATCACCCCTCTCTATTTCCATAACTTTTTCATCTTCCCAAAAGAAACTATCTCCAGTGAATAATGCTTTTTCATTCCTCCTCCTCTAGTCCCTGAAACTACCAGTATTTGCTCTGCTCTGACTGTTCTATTTCACTTACCATAGTGTCCTCAAAGTTCATCCATGCTTAACACATATCTAAATTTCATTTCTTTAAAAATTAAAATTATAAATCTTATTTTATTTATTTAAATTAAAAATCAGAAAAAAAATTGGCAAAATACATACAACATAAAATTTACATGTTACCATTTTAACAGTTTTTAATTTTTTTAATTTTTTAATTTTAAGATTTATTTATTTATGCATACAGAACTGGGGTACAGGCCAGAGGTGCAGGGGCGGTGAGAGGCTTCACCAGAGACAGAGTGGGGAACAGAACAGGCAGGTCGACAAAGCACACTGCTGAGGGGAGCAGCTGGCAGGTCAGGAGAGGTCTGCCACGCCATGTGGTCTCCTCGGGGCAGGTGGGAATCGAACTCATGCGGAAGTGGCTTTAGCTTCTCAGTGCTGTGCTTTAACCCGCTGCACCACCAGGGAGGGCCTTAACAGTTTTCTAAAGAGCAGATTTAAGTTCACAACAAAATTGAGCAGAAAGCATACAGAGTGAACTCCCAGGCTCCACCAAGCATAGTTTCCTTCGTCATCAGGATGATACCTATTACAATTGATGAGCCAGTATTTACTCATTCAAAATGTTTTGTTTACTTCAGGCTCCTCTCATATACATTCTATGGTTTTGGACAAATGTACAATGACAGTGATAAGTGTCTACTGTTAGGTTATCACAGAGAATATATTCAGTGTCCTGAAAATCCTGTGTTCCATCTGTTTTTCCCTCATACAATATGCAGCTGTTGAGGTGTATAGGAAAATTTCCCATCCTATCTTGAGATTAGTAAGAGAAAGGACCAAATTTAATAACACATGAATGAAGAAATCTACATGGTAGCTGATTCCTGAAAAACAAGGGGGTGGCCTGAGGCTATTTATCCTGAGTCTAGGGGCCTGTGGCATCAATGAGGTGGGGCAAGGGAGACTTCACATGACAGACAAAAAGGGGGTAACTGCATCTTCACTCTGAGAGTAATGATGAGAGTCTGAGCGAGGACATCTTCAATAAAAGTTACATCTCGACGATACCCCCCAAACTACAGACTTGTAGATCATAAAAGGGAGAGAAGTAATTGCTTCTTTGATTAGAAAAGGGCAAAGAACAAAAAGGCCATAAGGCCTTCACTGCTCTTAAAATAATTTGCATTCTTTTAACAGTAGAAATAGGTTCCCAATGCTCACGAGGTCTGGATAGACCTTATGTTCGGATCTAGGTGACACTTACAGAAAAAGGCCTACTCTGGGCACATTGAGAAAAGTCTCTCTAAGCATGTTGGGAAAACCAACCCCACATGGCTGTTTGAAAGTGGCTTCTCTCACTTAGTAATAGGTATGCATGTCAGATTCCTCTTTCCTTGGCTTGACAGCTTTTTTCCTTTTAGCTCTGAATGGTTTTCCATTGTCTGGTGTACCACAAACATTCTCCTACGGAAGAACACCTTGCTTGCTTCCAAGTTTTAGTAATCACAAGTAAAGATACTATAAATACCTTCATGCAGGTTTTTGTGTGGACAGTTTTTAACTCTTTTGGATAAATACAGAGGCATATGTTGCTGGATCAAAGGGTAAGAACATTTCTAGTCTTGTAAGAAACCAGAGAATTCTTCCAAAGGAAAGGTATCATTGTGCTTCCCCACCAACAATGAATGAGAGTTTAATGTTGCTCCACATCCTTGCCAGCATTTGGTGTTGTCAGTATTATGGATTTTGGCCATTTGGACGGGTGTGTGGTGGTATTTTCTTCTTTAATTTGTATCTCCCTAAAAGCATATGAGGTGGGACATCTTTTCATATGCTTACTGTACTCATTTTTAAATGTACCACTTAGTAATAGGAAAAATATTAAGATTGTTGTCCAAAACACCTGTAGAGCTTTTCTATCTTGCAAAGTAAAATTGTATACCCATCAAACAACTCACTGTCCGGCCCCCTGGCAGCCACCGTTCACTTCCTGTCTCTATGAATTTGACTGCTCTAGGCCCCTTAGAGGAGGGATCACACAAAAGTTGTCATTTTGTGAGTTTGATTTCTCAGCATAATGTCTCAAGGTTCATCAGTGTAGAGAATATGTCAGAATCTTGTTCAGGACTGAAAAATATTCCATTGTGTATATACATGCTTATATATTTACACACATACACATCACATTTTGCTTGTCCAGTCATCCATTACAGATATGCAGAGTGCTTCTACTTCTTGGCAGTTGTGATTGATGCTGTTGTGGACACAGAATGTGAGTGTCTGTTCAAGTCCCTCCTTTGAATTTATTTGAGTATATATCTAGACGTGAAATTGCTGAATCATAGGATAATTCTTTCCTGAATTTTTTTGATGAATCTGTTTTCTACATATGTGACGCCACTTTACCTTTCTATCAGTAGTTCTAATTTCTCCACATTCTCACCAACCTTTGTTATTTAATTTCTCTCTCTCTTTTTTTTATCTTTTCTTTTTTTTTTTTTTAGATTGGAATAACATATCTTTTCATTTTTTTAAAATAATTTTTGCTTTCTTTTCTCAGGTGTAGTCCCCATAGAATTCCCACCACCAGTTCACCCATTAACCATCACCATAGACCCTTGTGCTCTTCCCTCCCTTGTTTTGATTCCTTTTCTTCTCCCTCCCCTGCAGAATGTCTCTGATTTATAGTTGTCTGTTTATTTTTGTTATATTTTTAATTGCTATAATTTTTCCCCTGATGCCTTATTTGGTTCCCCTACATTCCCTTTAAAGTGAAACCATCCCATATTTTCCTTTTTCTTTCTGATTTAACTCACTGATCATAATCCCTTCTAGCTCTATTCATGTTGCTGCGAATGGCATGAGTTCATCTTTTTTGACTGCTGAACAGCATTCCATTGTATATATATTCCACATCTTCTTGATCCAGTCATCTATTTTTGGGCATTTGGGTTGTTTCCAAGTCTTACCTATTATAAATTGTGATCCCATGAGCATAGTGGGATGCAGCAAAATCAGTTATCAGAGGAAGTATATAGTAATACAGGCTCAGATCAAGAAACAAGAGAGAACACAAAGAAACAAGCTAGATTTCCATCTCAAAGAACTAGGAAAAGAACAACAAAACAAAACCAGTAGAAGAAAGGAAA